CAAACGCAAACATTCCGGTACGGGTTTATTAATTAAGCAAAGCAAAGCGTTCTGTACCGGTCCATTAAGCAAAACCATAAAATTGTAAAGAAACTGTTTTCATATCATTTTGACATGCACCCTTTTCGCGCAAAAACATTTTTATGCCGGCCCAACAGCCAAACGCAACCATTTCGCTACCGGTCCATTAAGCAAAACAAAAGGTTCTGTTACCGGCTCAGTAAACAAAACAAAACAACATTAAGAACCATGAGTTCTAACTTTTTGCAATCAACAGATCCTTCCACTGGTAACGTTACTTTTTCAGGCTTGGAACCATGAGTTTCAAGCTTTGGGAACCCACAGTTCCTTTCAATGAAAGCCGCTTAGCTTCGAAAACATAAATTCTAACTTCTGCGGCAATTCCTTGCAATGGTAACCTGTGGTTCCCAGGTTGGGAACCGTAAGTTTCAAGGTCTGGGAACCGGCAGTTCCTTGCCATGGCAACCTTTGGTTCCCACGTTGGGAACCATCAGTTCCAACCTTTAGGAACTGGAAGTTCTTTGCAATGGTAACCTATGGTTCCCAGGTTGGGAAGCATGAGTTCCAACCTCTGGTAACCGGCAGTTGCTTGCAATGGTAACCTCTGGTTCCCAGGTTGGGAACCAGGAGTTCCAACCTGTGGGAACCGGAAGTTCCTTGCAATGGTAACCTGTGGTTCCCACGTTGGCAACCGTGAGTTCCAACCTTTGGGAACCGGCAGTTCCTTGCCATGAACCAAACGCAAACATCCCGGTACCGGTCCATTAAGCAAAACAAAGCGTTCTTTACCGGTCCAATAAGCAAAACCAAAAAGTTGTAAAGAAACTGTTTTCATATCATTTTAACATGCACCTTTTTCGTGCAAAAACATTTTTATGCCGGCCCAGCAGCCGAACGCACACATTCCGCTACCGGTCCATTAAGCAAAACAAAAGGTTCTGTTACCGGCTCAGTAAACAAAACAAAACAACATTAAGAACCATGAGTTCTAACTTTTTGCAATCAACAGATCCTTCCACTGGTAACGTATGCTTTTTCAGGTTTGGAACCATGAGTTTCAAACTTTGGGAATCCGCAGTTCCTTACAATGATAGTTGCTTAGCTTCGAAAACATAAATTCTAACTTCTGGGAACCGGCAATTCCTTGCATTAGTAACCTCTGTTTCCCAGGTTGGGAACCGCAAGTTTCAAGGTCTGGGCACCGGCAGTTCCTTGCCATGGTAACCTTTGGTTCCCACGTTGGGAACCATCAGTTCCAACCTTTAGGAATTGGAAGTTGTTTGCAATGGTAACCTATGGTTCCCAGGTTGGGAAGCATGAGTTCCAACCTCTGGGAACCGGCAGTTGCTTGCAATGGTAACCTCTGGTTCCCACGTTGGGAACCATCAGTTCCAACCTTTAGGAATTGGAAGTTGCTTGCAATGGTAACCTCTGGTTCCCACGTTGGCAACCGTGAGTTCCAACCTTTGGAAACTGGCAGTTCCTTGCCATGAACCAAACGCAAACATTCCGGTACCGGTCCATTAAGCAAAACAAAGCTTTCTGTACCGGTCCATTAAGCAAAACCATAAAATTGTAAAGAAACTGTTTTCATGTCATTTTGACATGCACCTTTTTCGTTCAAAAACATTTTTATGCCGGCCCAACAGCCAAACGCAACCATTTCGCTACCCGTCCATTAAGCAAAACAAAAGGTTCTGTTACCGGCTCAGTAAACAAAACAAAACAACATTAAGAACCATGAGGTCCATGTTTTTGCAATCAACAGATCCTTCCACTGGTAACGTTACTTTTTCAGGCTTGGAACCATGAGTTTCAAACTTTGGGAACCCGCAGTTCCTTACAATGATAGCCGCTTAGCTTCGAAAACATAAATTCTAACTTCTGGGAGCCGGCAATTCCTTGCAATGGCAACCTCTGGTTCCCAGGTTGGGAACCGTAAGTTTCAAGGTCTGGGAACCGGCAGTTCCTTGCCATGGTAACCTTTGGTTCCCACGTTGGGAACCATCAGTTCCAACCTTTTCTATCTGGGGTCTATGTCGGTGTAATTTTTTTCGATGCTGACGGTGACTTGAAACAGTTGCCTGGTCTGGTGCTTTGAAACAATTTGAAACAGCTTTATTGCACTTTTCTGCACGTTTGAGGCTTTTTAGGTTTGTCCTTTGCCCGGCTTTTGCCTCAAGCATTTTTGTGCAGTATCAAATTGATTTTCACACATTATAAGTGGGGCTGGCGCCCCTATGCCGCCGACCCCTGGGACCAGTTGGCTCTTTCTGAACGCCAAGAAAGGACGGATCGGGCCCGCGGCCAGCAGCCCAGAGTGCCAAACACTTTCTGAACGCCTAGAAACTAGTTGCAAACCTTGCCTTTACCTGCCGTTCTGTACTGCCAGCTTCCTAATGGCTTGCTGTGTCTTGCCAGTGGCGTTTGTCTGGCACACCTCAGGTCCAAGGACGCTGCCGCAGCACCAAAACACCATGGCAGTGAAGGACGGATCGGGCCCGCGGCCAGCAGCCCAGAGTGCCAAACGTCGCTTTCTGAACGCTTAGAAACTAGCTGCAAACCTTGCCTTTACCTGCCGTTCGGCACTGCCAGCTTCCTAATGGCTTGCTGCGTCTGCTTTCTGAACGCGTAGAAACTAGTTGCAAACCTTGCCTTTACCTGCCGTTCGGCACTGCCAGCTTCCAAATTGCTTGCTGCGTCTGCTTTCTGAACGCCTAGAAACTAGTTGCAAACTTTGCCTTTACCTGCCGTTCGGCACTGCCAGCTTCCAAATTGCTTGCTGCGTCTCGCAGGTGGCGTTCGTCTGGCACACTGCAGGTCCAAGGACGCTGCCGCAGCACCAAAACACGGTGGCAGTGAAGGACGGATCGGCCCCGCGGCCGGCAGCCCAGAGTGCCAAACGTCGCTTTCTGAACGCCTAGAAACTAGCTGCAAGCCTTGCCTTTACCTGCCGTTCGGCACTGCCAGCTTCCAAATTGCTTGCTGCGTGCCGTTCTGCACTGCCAGCTTCCAAAGTGCTTGCTGCGTCGTGCTGGTGGCGTTCGTCTGGCACACCTCGGGTCCAAGGACGCTGCCGCAGCACCAAAGCACCATGGCAGTGAAGGGCGGATCGGGCCCGCGGCCGGCAGCCCAGAGTGCCAAACGTTGCTTTTTGAACGCCTAGAAACTAGCTGCAAACCTTGCCTTTACCTGCCGTTCTGTACTGCCAGCTTCCTAATGGCTTGCTGTGTCTTGCCAGTGGCGTTTGTCTGGCACACCTCAGGTCCAAGGACGCTGCCGCAGCACCAAAACACCATGGCAGTGAAGGACGGATCGGGCCCGCGGCCAGCAGCCCAGAGTGCCAAACGTCGCTTTCTGAACGCTTAGAAACTAGCTGCAAACTTTGCCTTTACCTGCCGTTCGGCACTGCCAGCTTCCAAATTGCTTGCTGCGTCTTGCAGTTCGTCTGGCACACCTCAGGTTCAAGGACGCTACCGCAGCACCGAAACACAATGGCAGTGAAGGACGGATCGGGCCCGCGGCCGGCAGCCCAGAGTGCCAAACGTCGCTTTCTGAACGCTTAGAAACTAGTTGCAAACCTTGCCTTTACCTGCCGTTCGGCACTGCCATTCCAAATTGCTTGCTGCGTCTGCTTTCTGGACGCCTAGAAACTAGCTCCTTTACCTGCCGTTCGGCACTGCCAGGTTCCAAATTGCTTGTGCTGCGTCTCGCAGGTGGCGTTCGTCTGGCACACCTCAGGTCGAAGGACGCTGCCGCAGCACCAAAACACCATGGCAGTGAAGGACGGATCGGACCTGCGGCCGGCAGCCCAGAGTGCCAAACGTCGCTTTCTGAACGCCTAGAAACTAGCTGCAAACCTTGCCTTTACCAGCCGTTCGGCAGTGCCAGCTTCCAAATTGCTTGCTGCGTTTTGCAGATGGCGTTCGTCTGGCACACCTCAGGTTCAAGGACGCTGCCGCATTACCAAAACACCATGGCAGTGAAGGACGGATCGGGCCCGCGGCCGGCAGCCCAGACTCCAAACGTCGCTTCCTGAACGTCTAGAAACTAGTTGCAAACCTTGCCTTTGCTTGACAAAAGTTGCTTCTTTCACGCGCTCCCCCGCTACAGCAGGGGTCGGCGGATCTAGATTTAAATTTTAAGGATAGATTTTTTTAGCCGGACCTAGGAGCCGGCTGCGGGGATGAAAAATCCCCACCAGAGGAGGTATCTTTCGAAGTTTTGGGAAGGGCCAATGGGCTGTCGAAGGCCTAGGCTCTTCAACCAAGCAACCAGTACATACCTGTTTCAGCTTTTCGCAATCGCCCGCCTCAAAAGTTGCATTTGGAGTGCAATTTGGAGTCTCTTTGTCTCTTGAGCGGAGCGTGTTTCTGAAGGTTTTGAATGAGATTGTCACTGCAACATCTGAGAGCTAAGACTGTAAGACTTGGTGTCTGCCAGGATCTGGTGAAGGTCCTGTGCTTTCCAGTGGATGGTGGACGGATTGTGCGAAGGAGCTTTTCAAAGGTTTGGACGTGGGCAGGATGGGCTGACGCTGCCCACAAGCGTTTCTTGCAGTGGGTGGGAAAATAGTAGAATATTCGGAATATGGATGAGTATGAAAGATCGTTGCTCAAGAGAGCCTAAAGACACCCAACATTTTATCTAGCTGTTCTGCAGTTGTTTCATTCTCTCGGTTCCAGCATTTAAGCTGCGCAGGCCAGCTATGCTGCAAGATGTAAAGCCAGGCTGTTTGGGATCAGGATGAATACGAGTCAAGAACGGAAGCATAGGCTAGAGGCCTTATAGGTCCTTGCAAGGTTTCTGCGTCGAAACATGCAAAACATGCACTTTGGAGATCAACAACCTTGAGGAATCTGAATTCATTGTCCAGGCATGCAGTGAATGGATTCAAATTGAGTTGAGTAGATGGCGCATCCGAAGCCATTCAAGGATACTGAAGGTGTTTTCTGCTTCCATCGTGTTAGCATCCAGCAATGTTCACTGGTCAGCCCGTGTACCCTGGACAACAGATGTATGCAGTTCCAGGTGCCGTGACTACGCTCCCATCTCGTGTCTCTTACGTGACGAGTGGTGCTGAGATCCCTGGCGGCATGGCTGCCCCAGCTGTGGCTTATCCACAGATGGCACCACAGATCTATGCTCTGTCAGCAATGGTCTCCCCTGGAATGCAGACTCAGACAAGGGTTGTGACCCTGAGTGTATCGGAGGCTGAGGTTCTTCTGGCACAAAAGGCTTGGTCAGATGCAATCAAACACATTTCCAAGACCTATCTTGAGGGAGGCGACTACGTTGCAGCTGCTGCCAAAGCAGCCGGTGAGCTCTATGGCTATGGCCACTCTGATGTGCTGTTCAAGCCAACCAAGGCAGCTGAAGCACAGTTTCGACCCACAGCCTCAGATGCCATGTCCTACTTTGTTGGGCACAAGGCGGTCGAGAATGGTTATCTTGAGGATGCTGGCTTCGCCATCAACGGTGGAAAGGGATGGTCAAATGTGGTTTTTGACAACCACAAAATTCATGTCAGCGGCAATGTTGCCATTGCCATGGGCAACTACTTTTTCACCAGCGCTGCAGATGGAAGCAAGACCAAAGTTGAGTACACTTTCGGCTACAAGAAGAATGCGGACGGCAAGGTGCGCATCTTCCTCCACCACTCCTCAGTGCCATACCGCGTGCCTGCAGCCACTGCATCTGGAGCGATTACTGAAGAGGAAGTAAAGAGTGTGCAGGCAGCATGGGCCAATGCCATCAAGAGTATCTCCAAGACTTGTCTTGAGGGAGGCGACTACGTTACAGCTGCTGCCAAAGCAGCCGGTGAGCTCTATGGCTATGGACACACAAATGTGCTGTTCAAGCCAACCAAGGCAGCTGAAGCACAATTTCGACCCACAGCCTCAGATGCATGTCCTACTTTGTTGGGCACAGAGCGGTCGAGAAGGGTTATCTTGAGGATGCTGGCTTCGCCATCAACGGTGGGAAGGGATGGTCGAACGTGGTTTTTGACAACCACCAAATTGATGTCACTGGCAATGTTGCCATTGCCATGGGCAACTACTTCTTCACCAGCGCTGCAGATGGAAGCAAGACCAAAGTTGAGTACACTTTCGGCTACAAGAAGAATGCCGACGGCAAGGTGCGCATCTTCCTCCACCACTCCTCAGTGCCATACAGCGTGCCCGCAGCCACTCCAACTGCAGAGATTACTGAAGAGGAAGTAAAGAGTGTGCAGGCAGCATGGGCCAATGCCATCAAGAGTATCTCCAAGACCTATCTTGACGGAGGTGACTACATTGCAGCTGCTGGCAAAGCAGCTGGTGAGCTCTACGGCTATGGGCACACAAATGTGCTGTTCAAGCCAACCAAAGCGGCTGAAGCGCAGTTTCGACCCACAGCCTCCGATGCCATGTCCTACTTTGTTGGGCACAAAGCGGTCGAGAAGGGTCATCTTGAGGATGCTGGTTTTGCCATCAACGGTGGAAAGGGATGGTCGAACGTGGTTTTTGATAACCACCAAATCGATGTCAGTGGCAATGTTGCCATTGCCATGGGCAACTACTTCTTCACCAGCGCTGCAGATGGAAGCAAGACCAAAGTTGAGTACACTTTCGGCTACAAGAAGAATGCGGACGGCAAGGTGCGCATCTTCCTCCACCGCTCCTCAGTGCCATACAGCGTGCCTGCAGCCACTGCATCTGGAGCGATTACTGAAGAGGAAGTAAAGAGTGTGCAAGCAGCATGGGCCAATGCCATCAGGAGCATCTCCAAGACTTATCTTGACGGAGGCGACTGCGTTGCAGCTGCTGCCAAAGCAGCCGGTGAGCTCTATGGCTATGGACACACAAATGTGCTGTTCAAGCCAACCAAGGCAGCTGAAGCACAGTTTCGACCCACAGCCTCAGATGCCATGTCCTACTTTGTTGGGCACAAGGCAGTCGAGAAGGGTTATCTTGAGGATGCTGGCTTCGCCATCAACGGTGGGAAGGGATGGTCAAATGTGGTTTTTGACAACCACCAAATTGATGTCACTGGCAATGTTGCCATTGCCATGGGCAACTACTTCTTCACCAGTGCTGCAGATGGAAGCAAGACGAAAGTTGAGTACACTTTCGGCTACAAGAAGAATGCGGATGGCAAGGTGCGCATCTTCCTCCACCACTCCTCAGTGCCATACAGCGTGCCTGCAGCCACCAAAGTGCAGTCCCCAAGCTTAGTGACAACTTTGCAGCCAACAGTGGTTGGAGCATAGATTTGATCTCTGAGAGGCCTGCTTTGGTCACATCTTTAGTTTTTTTCGATGCTGACGGTGACTTGAAACAGTTGCCTGGTCTGGTGCTTTGCAAAAGTTTATTGCACTTTTCTGCACGTTTGAGGCTTTTTAGGTTTGTCCTTTGTCCAGCTTTTGCCTCAAACATTTTTGTGCAGTATGAAATTGATTTGTACACATGATATAGATTTAATGATTGAATTTTTAGCCGGACCTAGGAGCCGGCTGCGGGGATGAAAAATCCCCACCAGAGGAGATATCGTTCGAAGTTTTGGGAAGGGCCAATGTGCTGTCAAAGGCCCGCGCTCTTCAACCAAGCAGCCAGTACATAGCTGTGCTTTGCTTGGAGACCCTTGCAGCTTTTCGCAATCGCCCGCCTCAAAAGCTGCATTTGGAGTCCAATTTGGAGTCTCTTTGTCTCTTGAGCGGAGCACGTTTCTGAAGGTTTTGAATGAGATTGTCACTGCAACATCTGAGAGCTAAGACTGTAAGACTTGGTGTCTGCCAGGATCTGGTGAAGGTCCTGTGCTTTCCAGTGGATGGTAGACGGATTGTGCGAAGGAGCTTTTCAAAGGCTTGGACGTGGGCAGGATGGGCTGACGCTGCCCACAAGCGTTTCTTGCAGTGGGTGGGAAAATAGTAGAATATTCGGAATATGGATGAGTATGAAAGATCGTTGCTCAAGAGAGCCTAAAGACACCCAACATTTTATCTAGCTGTTCTGCTTGAGTTGTTTCATTCTCGGTTCCAGCATTTAAGCTGCGCAGGCCAGCTATGCTGCAAGATGTAAAGCAAGGCTGTTTGGGATCAGGATGAATACGAGTCAAGAACGGAAGCATAGGCTAGAGGCCTTATAGGTCCTTGCAAGGTTTCTGCGTCGAAACATGCAAAACATGCACTTTGGAGATCAAACATCTTGAGGAATCTGAATTCATTGTCCAGGCATGCAGTGAATGGATTCAGATTGAGTTGAGTAGATGGCGCATCCGAAGCCATTCAAGGATACTGAAGGTGTTTTCTGCTTCCATCGTGTTAGCATCCAGCAATGTTCACTGGTCAGCCCGTGTACCCTGGACAACAGATGTATGCAGTTCCAGGTGCCGTGACTACGCTCCCATCTCGTGTCTCTTACGTGACGAGTGGTGCTGAGATCCCTGGCGGCATGGCTGCCCCAGCTGTGGCTTATCCACAGATGGCACCACAGATCTATGCTCCGTCAGCAATGGTCTCCCCTGGAATGCAGACTCAGACAAGGGTTGTGACCCTGAGTGTATCGGAGGCTGAGGTTCTTCTGGCACAAAAGGCTTGGTCAGATGCAATCAAACACATTTCCAAGACCTATCTTGAGGGAGGTGACTACGTTGCAGCTGCTGCCAAAGCAGCCGGTGAGCTCTATGGCTATGGCCACTCTGATGTGCTGTTCAAGCCAACCAAGGCAGCTGAAGCACAGTTTCGACCCACAGCCTCAGATGCCATGTCCTACTTTGTTGGGCACAAGGCAGTCGAGAACGGTTATCTTGAGGATGCTGGCTTCGCCATCAACGGTGGAAAGGGATGGTCAAATGTGGTTTTTGACAACCACAAAATTAATGTCAGCGGCAATGTTGCCATTGCCATGGGCAACTACTTTTTCACCAGCGCTGCAGATGGAAGCAAGACCAAAGTTGAGTACACTTTCGGCTACAAGAAGAATGCGGACGGCAAGGTGCGCATCTTCCTCCACCACTCCTCAGTGCCATACAGCGTGCCTGCAGCCACTGCATCTGGGATTACTGAGGAGGAAGTAAAGAGTGTGCAGGCAGCATGGGCCAATGCCATCAGGAGCATCTCCAAGACTTATCTTGAGGGAGGCGACTACGTTGCAGCTGCTGCCAAAGCAGCCGGTGAGCTCTATGGCTATGGACACACAAATGTGCTGTTCAAGCCAACCAAGGCAGCTGAAGCACAATTTCGACCCACAGCCTCAGATGCCATGTCCTACTTTGTTGGGCACAGAGCGGTCGAGAAGGGTTATCTCGAGGATGCTGGCTTCGCCATCAACGGTGGGAAGGGATGGTCGAACGTGGTTTTTGACAACCACCAAATTGATGTCACTGGCAATGTTGCCATTGCCATGGGCAACTACTTCTTCACCAGCGCTGCAGATGGAAGCAAGACCAAAGTGAGTAACTTTACGGCTACAAGACCGAATGCGGACGGCAAAGGTGCGAATCTTCTCCACCAATCCTCAGTGCCCATACAGCGTGCTGCAGCCCAACTGCATCTGGAGCGATTACTGAAGAGGAAGTGAAGAGTGTGCAGGCAGCATGGGCCAACGCCATCAAGAGTATTTCCAAGACCTATCTTGATGGAGGCGACTACGTTGCAGCTGCTGCCAAAGCAGCCGGTGAGCTCTATGGCTATGGCCACACAGATGTGCTGTTCAAGCCAACCAAAGCAGCCGAAGCGCAGTTTCGACCCACAGCCTCCGATGCCATGTCCTATTTTGTTGGGCACAAGGCCGTGGAGAATGGTTATCTTGAGGATGCTGGTTTTGCCATCAACGGTGGAAAGGGATGGTCGAACGTGGTTTTTGATAACCATAAAATCGATGTCAGCGGCAATGTTGCCATTGCCATGGGCAACTACTTCTTCACCAGCGCTGCAGATGGAAGCAAGACCAAAGTTGAGTACACTTTCGGCTACAAGAAGAATGCGGACGGCAAGGTGCGCATCTTCCTCCACCACTCCTCAGTGCCATACAGCGTGCCTGCAGCCACTGCATCTGGAGCGATTACTGAAGAGGAAGTAAAGAGTGTGCAGGCAGCATGGGCCAATGCCATCAAGAGTATCTCCAAGACTTGTCTTGAGGGAGGCGACTACGTTACAGCTGCTGCCAAAGCAGCCGGTGAGCTCTATGGCTATGGACACACAAATGTGCTGTTCAAGCCAACCAAGGCAGCTGAAGCACAATTTCGACCCACAGCCTCAGATGCATGTCCTACTTTGTTGGGCACAGAGCGGTCGAGAAGGGTTATCTTGAGGATGCTGGCTTCGCCATCAACGGTGGGAAGGGATGGTCGAACGTGGTTTTTGACAACCACCAAATTGATGTCACTGGCAATGTTGCCATTGCCATGGGCAACTACTTCTTCACCAGCGCTGCAGATGGAAGCAAGACCAAAGTTGAGTACACTTTCGGCTACAAGAAGAATGCGGATGGCAAGGTGCGCATCTTCCTCCACCACTCCTCAGTGCCATACAGCGTGCCTGCAGCCACCAAAGTGCAGTCCCCAAGCTTGGTGACAACTTTGCAGCCAACAGTGGTTGGAGCATAGATTTGATCTCTGAGAGGCCTGCTTTGGTCACATCTTTAGTTTTTTTCGATGCTGACGGTGACTTGAAACAGTTGCCTGGTCTGGTGCTTTGCAAAAGTTTTATTGCACTTTTCTGCACGTTTGAGGCTTTTTAGGTTTGTCCTTTGTCCAGCTTTTGCCTCAAACATTTTTGTGCAGTATCAAATTGATTTGTACACATGATATAGATTTAATGATTGAATTTTTAGCCGGACCTAGGAGCCGGCTGCGGGGATGAAAAATCCCCACCAGAGGAGATATCTTTCGAAGTTTTGGGAAGGGCCAATGGGCTGCCGAAGGCCTAAGCTCTTTAACCAAGCAGCCAGTACATAGCTGTGCTTTGCTTGGAGACCCTTGCAGCTTTTCGCAATCGCCCGCCTCAAAAGTTGCATTTGGAGTCCAATTTGGAGTCTCTTTGTCTCTTGAGCGGAGCGCGTTTCTGAAGGTTTTGAATGAGATTGTCACTGCAACATCTGAGAGCTAAGACTGTAAGACTTGGTGTCTGCCAGGATTGGTGAAGGTCCTGTGCTTTCCAGAGTTTTTCAAAGCCTTGGACATGAGCAGGATGGGCTGACGCTGCCCACAAGTGTTTCTTGCAATAGATGGGAAACTAGTGCAAACTTTGGAATATGGATGAGTAGGAAAGATCGTTGCTAAAGACACCCAACATTTCATCTAGCTGTTCTGCTTGAGTTGTTTCATTCTCGGTTCTAGCATTTGAGCTGCGCAGGCCAGCTTTGCTGCAAATTGGAAAGCAAGGCTGTTTGGGATCAGGATGAATACGAGTCAAGAAGGGAAGCATAGGTCTTGTAGGTCCTTGCAAGGTTTCTGCGTAGAAACATGCACTTTGGAGATCAACAATCTCGAGGAATCTGAATTCATTGTCCAGGCATGCAGTGAATGGATTCAGATTGAGTTGAGTAGATGGCGCATCCGAAGCCATTCAAGGATACTGAAGGTGTTTTCTGCTTCCATCGTGTTAGCATCCAGCAATGTTCACTGGTCAGCCCGTGTACCCTGGACAACAGATGTATGCAGTTCCAGGTGCCGTGACTACATCTCGTGTCTCTTACGTGACGAGTGGTGCTGAGATCCCTGGCGGCATGGCTGCCCCAGCTGTGGCTTATCCACAGATGGCACCACAGATCTATGCTCCGTCAGCAATGGTCTCCCCTGGAATGCAGACTCAGACAAGGGTTGTGACCCTGAGTGTATCGGAGGCTGAGGTTCTTCTGGCACAAAAGGCTTGGTCAGATGCAATCAAACACATTTCCAAGACCTATCTTGAGGGAGGCGACTACGTTGCAGCTGCTGCCAAAGCAGCCGGTGAGCTCTATGGCTATGGACACACAAATGTGCTGTTCAAGCCAACCAAGGCAGCTGAAGCCCAGTTTCGACCCACAGCCTCAGATGCCATGTCCTACTTTGTTGGGCACAAGGCGGTCGAGAATGGGTATCTTGAGGATGCTGGCTTCGCCATCAACGGTGGAAAGGGATGGTCAAATGTGGTTTTTGACAACCACAAAATTCATGTCAGCGGCAATGTTGCCATTGCCATGGGCAACTACTTCTTCACCAGCGCTGCAGATGGAAGCAAGACCAAAGTTGAGTACACTTTCGGCTACAAGAAGAATGCGGACGGCAAGGTGCGCATCTTCCTCCACCACTCCTCAGTGCCATACAGCGTGCCTGCAGCCACTGCATCTGGAGCGATTACTGAAGAGGAAGTAAAGAGTGTGCAGGCAGCATGGGCCAATGCCATCAGGAGCATCTCCAAGACTTATCTTGAGGGAGGCGACTACGTTGCAGCTGCTGCCAAAGCAGCCGGTGAGCTCTATGGCTATGGACACACAAATGTGCTCTTCAAGCCAACCAAGGCAGCTGAAGCACAGTTTCGACCCACAGCCTCAGATGCCATGTCCTACTTTGTTGGACACAAGGCAGTCGAGAAGGGTTATCTTGAGGATGCTGGCTTCGCCATCAACGGTGGAAAGGGATGGTCAGATGTGGTTTTTGACAACCACCAAATTGATGTCACTGGCAATGTTGCCATTGCCATGGGCAACTACTTCTTCACCAGCGCTGCAGATGGAAGCAAGACCAAAGTTGAGTACACTTTTGGCTACAAGAAGAATGCGGACGGCAAGGTGCGCATCTTCCTCCACCACTCCTCAGTGCCATACAGCGTGCCTGCAGCCACTGCATCTGGAGCGATTACTGAAGAGGAAGTAAAGAGGGTGCAGGCAGCATGGGCCAATGCCATCAAGAGTATCTCCAAGACTTATCTTGAGGGAGGCGACTACGTTGCAGCTGCTGCCAAAGCAGCCGGTGAGCTCTATGGCTATGGACACACAAATGTGCTGTTCAAGCCAACCAAGGCAGCTGAAGCACAGTTTCGACCCACAGCCTCAGATGCCATGTCCTACTTTGTTGGGCACAAGGCGGTCGAGAAGGGTTATCTTGAGGATGCTGGCTTCGCCATCAACGGTGGACAGGGATGGTCAAATGTGGTTTTTGACAACCACCAAATTGATGTCACTGGCAATGTTGCCATTGCCATGGGCAACTACTTCTTCACAAGCGCAGCAGATGGCAGCAAGACCAAAGTTGAGTACACTTTCGGCTACAAGAAGAATGCGGACGGCAAGGTGCGCATCTTCCTCCACCACTCGTCAGTGCCATACAGCGTGCCTGCAGCCACTGCATCTGGAGCGATTACTGAAGAGGAAGTAAAGAGTGTGCAGGCAGCATGGGCCAATGCCATCAAGAGTATCTCCAAGACTTATCTTGACAGAGGCGACTACGTTGCAGCTGCTGCCAAAGCAGCCGGTGAGCTCTATGGCTATGGACACACAAATGTGCTGTTCAAGCCAACCAAGGCAGCTGAAGCACAGTTTCGACCCACAGCCTCAGATGCCATGTCCTACTTTGTTGGGCACAAGGCAGTCGAGAAGGGTTATCTTGAGGATGCTGGCTTCGCCATCAACGGTGGAAAGGGATGGTCAAATGTGGTTTTTGACAACCACCAAATTGATGTCACTGGCAATGTTGCCATTGCCATGGGCAACTACTTCTTCACCAGCGCTGCAGATGGAAGCAAGACCAAAGTTGAGTACACTTTCGGCTACAAGAAGAATGCGGATGGCAAGGTGCGCATCTTCCTCCACCACTCCTCAGTGCCATACAGCGTGCCTGCAGCCACCAAAGTGCAGTCCCCAAGCTTGGTGACAACTTTGCAGCCAACATTGGTTGGAGCATAGATTTGATCTCTGAGAGGCCTGCTTTGGTCACATCTTTAGTTTTTTTCGATGCTGACGGTGACTTGAAACAGTTGCCTGGTCTGGTGCTTTGCAAAAGTTTTATTGCACTTTTCTGCACGTTTGAGGCTTTTTAGGTTTGTCCTTTGTCCAGCTTTGCCTCAAACATTTTTGTGCAGTATGAAATTGATTTGTACACATGATATAGATTTAATGATTGAATTTTTAGCCGGACCTAGGAGCCGGCTGCGGGGATGAAAAATCCCCACCAGAGGAGGTATCTTTCGAAGTTTTGGGAAGGGCCAATGGGCTGTCAAAGGCCCGCGCTCTTCAGCCAAGCAGCCAGTACATAGCTGTGCTTTGCTTGGAGACCCTTGCAGCTTTTCGCAATCGCCCGCCTCAAAAGTTGCATTTGGAGTCCAATTTGGAGTCTCTTTGTCTCTTGAGCGGAGCGCGTTTCTGAAGGTTTTGAATGAGATTGTCACTGCAACATCTGAGAGCTAAGACTGTAAGACTTGGTGTCTGCCAGGATCTGGTGAAGGTCCTGTGCTTTCCAGTGGATGGTGGACGGATTGTGCGAAGGAGCTTTTCAAAGGCTTGGACGTGGGCAGGATGGGCTGACGCTGCCCACAAGCGTTTCTTGCAGTGGGTGGGAAAATAGTAGAATATTCGGAATATGGATGAGTATGAAAGATCGTTGCTCAAGAGAGCCTAAAGACACCCAACATTTTATCTAGCTGTTCTGCTTGAGTTGTTTCATTCTCGGTTCCAGCATTTAAGCTGCGCAGGCCAGCTATGCTGCAAGATGTAAAGCAAGGCTGTTTGGGATCAGGATGAATACGAGTCAAGAACGGAAGCATAGGCTAGAGGCCTTATAGGTCCTTGCAAGGTTTCTGCGTCGAAACATGCAAAACATGCACTTTGGAGATCAACAATCTTGAGGAATCTGAATTCATTGTCCAGGCATGCAGTGAATGGATTCAGATTGAGTTGAGTAGATGGCGCATCCGAAGCCATTCAAGGATACTGAAGGTGTTTTCTGCTTCCATCGTGTTAGCATCTAGCAATGTTCACTGGACAGCCCGTGTACCCTGGACAACAGATGTATGCAGTTCCAGGTGCCGTGACTACGCTCCCATCTCGTGTCTCTTACGTGACGAGTGGTGCTGAGATCCCTGGCGGCATGGCTGCCCCAGCTGTGGCTTATCCACAGATGGCACCACAGATCTATGCTCCGTCAGCAATGGTCTCCCCTGGAATGCAGACTCAGACAAGGGTTGTGACCCTGAGTGTATCGGAGGCTGAGGTTCTTCTGGCACAAAAGGCTTGGTCAGATGCAATCAAACACATTTCCAAGACCTATCTTGAGGGAGGCGACTACGTTGCAGCTGCTGCCAAAGCAGCCGGTGAGCTCTATGGCTATGGCCACTCTGATGTGCTGTTCAAGCCAACCAAGGCAGCTGAAGCACAGTTTCGACCCACAGCCTCAGATGCCATGTCCTACTTTGTTGGGCACAAGGCAGTCGAGAATGGGTTATCTTGAGGATGCTGGCTTCGCCATCAACGGTGGAAAGGGATGGTCAAATGTGGTTTTTGACAACCACAAAATTCATGTCAGCGGCAATGTTGCCATTGCCATGGGCAACTACTTCTTCACCAGCGCTGCAGATGGAAGCAAGACCAAAGTTGAGTACACTTTCGGCTACAAGAAGAATGCGGACGGCAAGGTGCGCATCTTCCTCCACCACTCCTCAGTGCCATACAGCGTGCCTGCAGCCACTGCATCTGGAGCGATTACTGAAGAGGAAGTAAAGAGTGTGCAGGCAGCATGGGCCAATGCCATCAGGAGTATCTCCAAAACTTATCTTGACGGAGGCGACTACGTTGCAGCTGCTGCCAAAGCAGCCGGTGAGCTCTATGGCTATGGACACACAAATGTGCTGTTCAAGCCAACCAAGGCAGCTGAAGCACAGTTTCGACCCACAGCCTCAGATGCCATGTCCTACTTTGTTGGACACAAGGCGGTCGAGAAGGGTTATCTTGAGGATGCTGGCTTCGCCATCAACGGTGGAAAGGGATGGTCAAATGTGGTTTTTGACAACCACCAAATTGATGTCACTGGCAATGTTGCCATTGCCATGGGCAACTACTTCTTCACCAGCGCTGCAGATGGAAGCAAGACCAAAGTTGAGTACACTTTCGGCTACAAGAAGAATGCGGACGGCAAGGTGCGCATCTTCCTCCACCACTCCTCAGTGCCATACAGCGTGCCTGCAGCCACTGCATCTGGAGCGATTACTGAAGAGGAAGTAAAGAGTGTGCAAGCAGCATGGGCCAATGCCATCAAGAGTATCTCCAAGACTTATCTTGAGGGAGGCGACTACGTTGCAGCTGCTGCCAAAGCAGCCGGTGAGCTCTATGGCTATGGACACACAAATGTGCTGTTCAAGCCAACCAAGGCAGCTGAAGCACAGTTTCGACCCACAGCCTCAGATGCCATGTCCTACTTTGTTGGACACAAGGCAGTCGAGAAGGGTTATCTTGAGGATGCTGGCTTCGCCATCAACGGTGGGAAGGGATGGTCAAATGTGGTTTTTGACAACCACCAAATTGATGTCACTGGCAATGTTGCCATTGCCATGGGCAACTACTTCTTCACCAGTGCTGCAGATGGAAGCAAGACCAAAGTTGAGTACACTTTCGGCTACAAGAAGAATGCGGATGGCAAGGTGCGCATCTTCCTCCACCATTCGTCAGTGCCATACAGCGTGCCTGCAGCCACTGCATCTGGAGCGATTACTGAAGAGGAAGTAAAGAGTGTGCAGGCAGCATGGGCCAATGCCATCAGGAGTATCTCCAAGACTTATCTTGACGGAGGCGACTACGTTGCAGCTGCTGCCAAAGCAGCCGGTGAGCTCTATGGCTATGGACACACAAATGTGCTGTTCAAGCCAACCAAGGCAGCTGAAGCACAGTTTCGACCCACAGCCTCAGATGCCATGTCCTACTTTGTTGGACACAGAGCAGTCGAGAAGGGTTATCTTGAGGATGCTGGCTTCGCCATCAACGGTGGAAAGGGATGGTCAAATGTGGTTTTTGACAACCACCAAATTGATGTCACTGGCAATGTTGCCATTGCCATGGGCAACTACTTCTTCACCAGCGCTGCAGATGGAAGCAAGACCAAAGTTGAGTACACTTTCGGCTACAAGAAGAATGCGGATGGCAAGGTGCGCATCTTCCTCCACCACTCCTCAGTGCCATACAGCGTGCCTGCAGCCACCAAAGTGCAGTCCCCAAGCTTGGTGACAACTTTGCAGCCAACATTGGTTGGAGCATAGATTGGAGCTCTGAGAGGCCTGCTTTGGTCACATCTTTAGTTTTTTTCCATGCTGACGGTGACTTGAAACAGTTGCCTGGTCTGGTGCTTTGCAAAAGTTTTATTACACTTTTTCTACACGTTTGAGGCTTTTTAGGTTTGTCCTTCGTCCAGCTTTTGCCTCAAACATTTTTGTGCAGTATCAAATTGATTTGTACACATGATATAAATTTATTGATTGAATTTTTAGCCGGACCTAGGAGCCGGCTGCGGGGATGAAAAATCCCCACCAGAGGAGGTATCTTTCGAAGTTTTGGGAAGGGCCAATGGGCTGTCAAAGGCCCGCGCTCTTCAGCCAAGCAGCCAGTACATACCTGTGCTTTGCTTGGAGACCCTTGCAGCTTTTCGCAATCGCCCGCCTCAAAAGTTGCATTTGGAGTCCAATTTGGAGTCTCTTTGTCTCTTCAGCGAAGCGCGTTTCTGAAGGTTTTGAATGAGATTGTCACTGCAACATCTGAGAGCTAAGACTGTAAGACTTGGTGTTTGCCAGGATCTGGTGAAGGTCCTGTGCTTTCCAGTGGATGGTGGACGGATTGTGCGAAGGAGCTTTTCAAAGGCTTGGACGTGGGCAGGATGGGCTGACGCTGCCCACAAGCGTTTCTTGCAGTGGCTGGGAAAATAGTAGAATATTCGGAATATGGATGAGTATGAAAGATCGTTGCTCAAGAGAGCGTAAAGACACCCAACATTTTATATAGCTGTTCTGCAGTTGCTTCATTCTCGGTTGCTCAGCCTGTAGGGAGACCCAGCAATTGTGTGGAAATGATCAACATGTCCAGAGATGTCTGTGCTTTTAGTTTTTTAGTGGCTTTTTAGTGGAGCATTGGTTGATGGTTCCAATACGCTGCAAGCTGTTCCAACAAAATTTGCGTTGTCACCCTGGGTTGATTGCCTGACTTCACCACCCAGTCACCGATGCAGTCCCTGCAAGCCTGGCAGGGGATACAGCAGCCGACAGAATCATGGAAAAAAAAGGTTACAATTGACAGGTGAGCTCCTGTCTATCACGGGAAATTTCTAGACCTTTTTTTTTTCCCATAATTATTCTTTTTTCTCCATAATTCTGTCGGCTGGAACACGTCCATCGATTCGCAGTTCGAATGCATTTTAAGGGGGAATATTGAATTATGGAAAATATATGAAAATATAATGTGTCGGAAAATCACGTATACGGTATACGGTATACCCCCAGCAAATTTCCAGCCTATTTCAGCCTTTTGCCATTGGTTTTAAACTATTGTCCAACCTATTTCAGCATTTTTCCATTGGTTTTCAGCAGTTGATCAACATATTTCAGCATTTTACCATAGGTTTACTCATGTTTTCAATCAATTTCATTGTGTTTAGCATTGACTTTTGTCAGTTGTTTGACTTATTTCATTATTTTTCTATTAGTATCTATTAGTTTTATTCAGATCTTCCATATGCGGGATGTTTCCAGTTCCAAGGCCACCCAAAAATTTTTCTGGGTTTGATCCATGTCAATCCATGACATGGCGGCCCCCCAAGCAATCTACCCCCTTGGAAAATTGGTTAGATGATGTTAGATGATGTTAAATCCGATTACACCCCCCAGGAAGCCCTATAAAAATCCTCTAAAATGGATGGGTTCACCCCATATGATTGGTGTTTTTGTTGAGGACCGCCCGGAAGGACTTTCTGCGTGGAGAGTACCGTTGGGCTACCTGGGGTGTAACTTGGGAGGACCCATGGGGGCGGGTTGCCATGGACCAGTTTCTTGTGCTAAACAGCACCCAACATACAAGAGCAAGTACAATCCTATTAAAATAGCAGGAACTTATATTGTTCTACTGTATCTCTTTGGGGGTGTTTTTTTATACAATGAACTTGTTTCAATTCTTTGCTACTTTGATTTGGACCCAACCAGACTTCCCAGACTACCCAGGAACATGACATTTTTGGTACTCGACTTGCCCTTTGATCGACTCACTCGAGTCGAACTCGGGAGAATTTACTTGGGGCCAGGTGCCGCCCAAACTGTCCAAAAAGAAAGGATTACTCTTAGTATCTCTTAGTCTTATTATGTCTTATTCATAAGAAGGGTTAAAATCCATGATATCATATGATATCCATGTTCAGAGTGGCGAAGATGCTTATAAAGAGGTGAAAATTTGGGATTCTGGAAAACGGGATTTCGAAGGCCCCTCTGAGCACTCTGAAATCGGAAAGCCTTTTTCGATCCCCACGAAAACCATGTCAACATATGTTCAAAAGTCATATGTTTGTACGATTACCACGGTTTTGGCTCTTCGTCAAGCCGTCATGAATTGCATTCCGGGCAAACGGTAAATCCTGGTCGTTTAGTTGCTATAAAATCACTAAATTTGGTGGTTCCAAGTATAGCCCATTTGTTGAGTCATACCACTCTGTGCATGATGAGATATGCCAAGTGTCCCAGAATTTGATGATGGGAAATTTGACAGGAAATGCTTACATTTTGTGTATTAAGAACCTACTGTATGGTTTTCAGATGTTTCCGGTAGAATTTCCCTGCAATCTATCCATTGCCTGTTGAAAATCATGATTTCCACCCCAATTGACCTATCCAACCTGTGGTTCCACGGCAGTTTCTGAGGCCACCATCCAACTCTGTTCAGATGGGTCGGAGCCTCCGGATGTTGACAGACGCTAGAAACCGCGTGGGGATGTGCCAAGCCAGCCCAAGCTATCCCAACATACAGACGTTCATTACATTTCATTACCATCCTGTAATCACTGTAATCAAACATGGGAATTGGACATCCCCTGAAAATGGAGGTTTTTAGCTGGGAAAATGATCTAGACATGGTCAATTTTCCAGCCATGTTTGATTACTGGAGGGAATTCTATTTTGAACAATACAAGTTTGGGGCAAATCAACCATACAAGTGATGACATGATGTTGACATGATGTGTGAGTTCAGCTCAGCTTAGCAAGTTGATGCAAGTTGACAATGGTGGGAAGTGATGACATGATGTGCGAGCTGCAGCTCAACTGAGTTCACACGCCAGGCCATCCCTTTTTATTTCCAAAGTCAGTAAGTTTGCAAGGCCGGGAATCCCGGAGCAAAACATGACCCAGACTCTGCAAGATGACATTCAGATCCAGTTGAAAACCAGAATTTGTCACAGATGTGATCAGGTGTGCCTTGTGGGGCATGAAATCCAGGGAGGATTGTTTTTGTCACCAGCTTCGTTCGCGGTCCAAGGTGATAACGAAGCAAGTCACTGTCGACAAAACCATGCAGCTTCCAGGTTGGCATTGAGACATTCATACTTTCCGACATTTCTAATCACCCAAAGCCCAAAGCACCAAATCTCAATGTCCATCATGCCGCAAGAGATGGGCCTTTTGGAATGTGGAGGTCTGAATTGCGCCAGTGCTTTGACAGGCTGGTGGATGGGTTTCTCAAGTCTTGCTGCGCATTGTTTCAACGAGTTGTCCCGGCAGCGGTTGTCCTCATGTTAGTGAAACGGCAAGCGGTTCTGCATGGAGATTATATCGAACTTGGAGTGGCTCTTGAAAGCCAAATTCCATCGAATTACTTTCTGTATTGTCCAATCCATGTTGACTTGGTACTCGTATGTGACAGTCGGGTGAGTGAATAAAGATGAACACAGCATATGTGCAGACATGCGATGTTTGGCTATGAGACGGACGCCATTTCACCGTTTTTTCAGATGTATGCAGCATGTCTTCTTCCGTTTTGAAAACAAGAATGCCAGAGAGAAACCAATCGCAGGTGTGAAAATGGCCACTTTGGATCGCACAAGCGACGCTCACTGACAACTTCGGCTCGTGGAGCCAGAGGCGGTGGGATGCAGTGGGCTTTTTTGGGGCCGAAGTTTCACCAATGTTTTGCTTCATCGATTTTCAATGATTATCATCAACGCTTGGCATTGAGACACGTAAACTTGTCAAATTACTTTTTGATACTTTTTTGTTGTGGACATCACCAAATCTGGAAAACAAGGTGTAGCGGAGCCAAGTGGAGGTCAGAATTGTGGCCGCAGTGCTTTGACAGGCTGATTGGTCGATGCATTTCTTGCACGTTGATGCTTGTGTTGGTTCAACAAGGCACCTGGAAGCGGCCACCAGCTGTGAAGCTGGGAATTTCGGAAACAGAAGATATGGGGGCGCCCAAAAAATCATCCAAACATGGTGATTTTGTACAGGAAAATCCATGTTTTAAGGGTTCCTGATTAGAAGGCCATATGCTGATTTCCAGTAGCTCAAGGTCATGCAAGGTGAAGACAAGCATTTCTGCAACGCTGTCTTGACCTGTATATGGAGCCCTCTGAAAGTGGGGGATTATACCATGAAATTGCCATTAAATGAGGAAACTGATGAGAAGTGCAGGGATTTGAGGGCTACCTACTTTTAGACAAACCCATATTTGTCAGGTGTTTTCATCAGTTTCGCGGGTGTTGGTGATGTTTCCACAACTGTTGTTTTCTTTACCAGTGCGGCCAGGCTGGTTCCTGCAAGATCTCAGCTCGTTGATCAGAGGTTGGCTCGCGACGTGACCGGAAAGTGTTGGGTTTTTACACATCCGTGCACTTTTTGGTCATTTTTGCAAACACCCGTGGCAAATCTACATGACACCGAGACTGATTTGTATGACTTGCCGTGGTTCGGCGCAATTGAAGCACTCCCACGCTCTATCCTCGCTGTTTGTCTCACTCGCTTGTGCTCATGGGATTCTTCAAGAAAGCTTGGAATAGTGCAAGAGACTTTTCGGAGGATGTTGGCAAAAAAACCTGGGAAGGTATAAAGATCGGTGCTAACGAGACCAAAAACCTTTCAGAAGATGTTGGCAAGAAAGCTTGGGAAGGTATAAAGATCGGTGCCAACGAGACCAAAAACCTTTCGGAAGGTGTTGGCAAAACCACCTGGGAAGGTTTGAAGACCGGTGCCAGTGAGGTCAAAAAAATCAAAAACCTTTCGGAGGATGTTTGGGAAGGTGCACAGAAAGTTGCCGAGCTGATCCCAATCGTGCCGATCGAGAACAAAATCCTCGAAATGGATCCGGTGGATCCAGGGCCTCACGACGGCGCCGAATCCCAGACCCGCCCAGCTTCAGTGGCTGCATCCACTGAGTCGGATGAAAGCCGAACTCCTGGCCGTCCTGGCCACGGGACTGACAGCATTCGCAGCAATGGCAGCAACGGCAGCAATCGCATCTTCACGGACCAAGGTGTGTGGCTCTTCATCCCGCATCAGTCCATGGATGGAGAAGCTTCCGAGACAAGCTCAGACCTGTCACGCCTGCGTCCTTCCAATGCAGGGCCACAATCGGATTCTGCTTCAGTCTTCGACTTGAGCCACGAGTTCGACATGGCCCAACGTATGGCAGGACTGTCAGAGCAGGTGGCCAGCGATTCAGCTTCATCCACCGGGTATTCTGTGGTGACAAGTGTGCCATCAACTGAGGGGTCTTGGTTGGTCTCAAGATGACAGAGTTTTGATGTGAAAATGAGACTTAGACGTGGGCTTGGCTTTGGGTTCTTGTGAGGCTTGGCTGTGAATCAAGGGTGCGCACCCCCTACATCGAGCCGATTCGCGCGCTATAACTCGAACATAATTGTCAAATATTGTCAATATATTGTCAATATATTGTGATTCAGTATGGCAAGCTGCTTTATTTGAAGCTTTGCAGCCAAATCCTGGATAGCTTCTTTCAGAACCTCAGCCACGACTCATTTTGTGACAACTCCACCGGGCGTTTGTTGAGTCTAGCTGAAGCCCAGGTGATGCTTTAGGTACGATGGTCTTGTGTAGATTGTACAGAGAAATTCATGTGAGCAGCTCGATGTAGCTCGTGTTTTTTGTGTGTTGGCGTGAAGTTTCTTGGGGTTGTCAAGTGGGTCGTCAACAAGGCCGCACTGGCGACACCCAGACTGTCGCAAGACTTTCGACCTGTGAGCAAAACCATGGGCTGGCGGGCGCGCTATTCCAGCCTTTGGCATTTGACATGGTTGCATGGTTAGCATTGTTGATTTTTTTTGGCAGGTTGTGAGAGTAGCAAACTGCTGCACTAGGCTCGAAAACTGAAGATTTCCTGAACCCAAGTTGTCAGTTGTTGCGATGGTGGACAGACGCAACAGCAATGACATGAGGAAGATTAAATCATGTTGTGGCTTGCAGGAGCCGATTGCGACCACGATGTGGAGAAGTGCTATAGGCGGACAGAGCCACCTTTATTGTGTATACATTCGGAGCAGAATCTGGAATCAAATCTTTAAAAGTGAGAAACCTTCACAACCCTGCGGCTTTCGTCATTTTTCTCTGTGTTTGCAGCTGAGATTTTCTTGTTCCTACTCTGGAATTCACTATCAATGGGTCCCCTTTGTGCCAGATTCTGCATCGCTGACCTGAGTGCGATGGTCTTTGGCATTTACGTCTAAGAGGCCTGCATCCAAAGAAAGCTTTGATGTTTCATGATGTTTCACAGTTGTGCCAATGGGAGGCTATTCGGCTATTCATTCAAAGTTCCCTTCCAACTTCTTCCTCCGTCTCGATCAAGGTAGAACATCTGTTCATTTTGCGCTGTCACTTCCCACCCTCCCTCCTGACAGTGAGCGGTCTTTTTGCTTGGTGTTACAGCTCAGGTTCGAGCTGTTCCAGCTTCATTGACCTGTCTCATTGGTCAAAGTTCCTGACAGACTCCTTCTGTAACCAGTCTGCCAAAACATGCCCTCCTCCCGTGACTTTTGAGGGTGGGTCAACTAAGGTGTGGGAAAACAAAAGTCACATCAGCTAGCCCTTAGTTTTGGGCCAAGCTGCAGTTTTATCTTTCGTATCCCACCCTCCAGCCCTATGCTGAATTCACAACATGTTTGTCACTGCATGCTGCAGTTCTCAAACATCTGTTCATTTTGCGCTGTCACTTCCCACCCTCCCTCCTGACAGTGAGCGGTCTTTTTGCTTGGTGTTACAGCTCAGGTTCGAGCTGTTCCAGCTTCATTGACCTGTCTCATTGGTCAAAGTTCCTGACAGACTCCTTCTGCAACCAGTCTGCCAAAACATGCCCTCCTCTGACTTTGTCGCGGACTTTCATCACATCCGAGCACTTTTGTCATTTCGTCTGACCAAAGTGGAGGGATACTGCCATTGACACTCTGTCAGGATTCTTGGTGAAGTTCCAGCCACAAGCCGTTCCCCATTCTGCCATGGGGATGGTCCAGCCCGCTTTGGTGACTTTGTGCCACGTTCTTTTGCCCTTTCTAGTTTCATTTGAGGACGCCCACAGCGCTTGTTTTGACGTGGTGGTGCCCATGGGTTCGTTCAGGACATCGACTTCAAGAGGTTCATGTTGCACCTGAACCATGGGTGTCATGGGTGCCCTCACTGCTGGTGTCTGAGCGCACGGCGTGGGTGTCCACGGAGATTTCTTTGGCTCCCAATCTAGCGCACCTCCATCTCTCCAGCCCATTTTGTTGGCAGGTACTTCTTGAAGTGCATCGTTGGCATAGGTCAGTACTACCGCCGACCTCCACCTTCCTAAGAATGCAAGCTCTTGGATCTGCATTCCTCTCCTTACGTGTTCCATGGCACCACTTCTCCGTGCCGAATGCCCGGACACCCTGCAACTTGTTGCCGAATTCCATGTTTCGATCATTTTGCTTTTTGCAAGGCGCTCCAACTTTGCATTGACAAACATGAAGCCCTTCTTCTTGAACTTGTTCGGTAGCTCTTTTTGCATCCTGTCCCATAAGTTCCATGCACAAAACCTGGAACACACTGCCTCGCCACAACATTGTAGGGTTCTCTTCACTCCTGTGGCCATCTGATCCATTTTTGAAACAGGTATCAGAAGAGTGACTTGCCTTTGTTGTTCGTCAGCTCGAACATGCTCCCATCTGCACGCTCCTGCTTCAATTTCTCTCAGCATCCAAACGCACGCCCATGCATACATCACTGCATGGTTGATGCCTCCTGGGAAATTGGACCCGTTTCTCTGCCACAAGTCCTCAGAAATGTTTTCCAATTTCGCCTCCACTGCTTTCTTGGTTGGCCCTTTGTTCCTGCACAAGGCCTTCTTACACAGGTTGAATGTCCTCACCAACCAAGGGGGCATATCGTGGCCCTCTTCAATGTGGAGAAGCTTCAGCTCGTTGAGGTATTGATCGCCAGACTTCATGCCTGATCCTCTCAAGCATGCCGCTACGCCCTCCACCGTCTCTTGGGCAAGTGGTAAAGGATCCCCACCTTGCCCTACCACCAAGTTTGCCAGCTTCAGTACTTCATTTCTCTTTATTTCTCTCGACGATCTAGATGAAGCTGACCAAAAGTTGCCCTTCAAATCGTTCGTGGCGTTCATCAAGCTCACTGAGGACAAGGCAATTTGAAAAGCAGCTCCTATGCCACCTCGTTTCGGTTCTAAATCACCACATGGCAAACTCCTCTCACGCTCTCCACGTCTATGCACTGCCTTGTCCAGTTTGGGAACTTTCAATTTCACTTTCTTAACCTTGTTAACCACCATTCTTGTGCCTGTTCCTTTGCACGCTCCCAACATCCTTAGCTGTTCTCTTTCAGATTTGCCGCTCTGCGTCTTTGATCCAAATTCTCGACTACCGGCAACGCTCTGACCACCATATCTCGTAGTATAGCTCCGTTGCCCTTCATCTTGTACGTGGAATAGACTGCCTCTGCTTCCTTTGAGGAAGGTCGACAATCCTCCTGCCACTGATATTCCCTCCTCTTTCCAATAGTGCTTGGAGGTGTGCACAAGATGGTTTGCGTTGATATATCCCTCGCCCTTTGATTTGCCCTTTGGTTCCCCGCCTTTACAATCTCTCCCCTGGGGCACCGCGGGGACGTTCTCCCACCCATGTGGCAGCAGATCATGCCCAGGAAGATGCAGCAAGTGACGAGCGAGGAGAGCCATCGAAAGAGCACGCAGAGTTCTGCGAACGACCAGGTGTCGTCCCCTGACAGTTCTAAGCGCACTGGCTGCACCTCCATGGTTTCCACGGGACTTGAACATGAAGCTGCTGGACAAAATTTTTCATTCTTCTGCCTAAAATAACTCAGCAGACACCTATTGAAATGCAAATGAAACGCAAAATAAAATATTTGCAAACATCACATTCCCCTTAAACTGTTCTAATGGCAACTCACGTCGAACTCTCAAAGCTGTGAAAGACACCGTCTTCCATTTTACCCAGCTTCAAGTTCCGAGCTCGTCGAATGCCGTTGACCCTACCTTTGCCGTCTAGCCCCACCGCAGTGCTTGTCCGGCCTCTGGCGGGGCCAGAGCCGATGTCATCACACTGGTCTTTGGAAACTGTCTAAATGGCACCCCCACAAGTCTCGGTGGTGTTTCACCGCGCTCGTGAGGGCAGCTCAACCATTCAGCTTCCTGGTTCCATGACCCTGGCACGTGTTGTGCCACGAAAGGCCTAGTTGCAGCTCTTCTGCACGTAAAGCCAACTCCGCGCCTATCCCATTTAGGACTGGCGAATGGGCTGCCGACCTGCGCACGGTGGCTAGTGCTACAACACTATCACTTCTGATCAGCACCGAGCACCCCTTCAGGCGATGTTTCCACTCACGTAGCGCCATTAGCACTGCCCATGCTTCCAAAGGTCCCTGGCCTGACGCCTCCTTCCATTGGATGCCCGTCCACTTCGCGATCTCTTCCGTCACCGGAATCTCCAGCGCCTCCAAGGGGACCAAGACTTTGTCGGTCTTGTCAGTGTCCGCTAGGGTTGCTCCAACTCCTTGTGGAGAGGCATCCGTGATCAAGGCGAAGGTGGGATGTACTTCAAAAAGGGGTTCATGTCTCAGTGCAAACTCGTCCGTCTTGTCGAACATCGCCAGAAACCATTGACGTGGCAATTCCATCCTATGCACTGCCACCATGTGCGGCTTCGGCCGAGTGTCATCCCTTCTGCTTGCTCGTTCTGTCTCCACCTTCACGTCGTTCATGGTCTGCGCAATGACGGTGTAGGGGATATTCACGCACCACCTTGCTCTGGTGATGATGCCGCATATCCAGCTCAAGTGCCCCGTCACTGCTCTGACATCTCTCAAAGGCACCATCCCTTTGCTTTCCCAACTGGTCAACACTTTCTTGACCTCGTTCATCATCTTGTGCGGGATTGACAGGATTAATACCTCCTCTGCAAGCCGAAGTTCCATCCTTGTGCCTATCCATGTTGTGTCTGTGCCTCTAACGTCCTTCATGAATTGCAAGTTGACTCCAAGCGCACCACACATGTACGAGATCAGGGCAAGATTTTCACGTCGTCTCCACCTGGGACCCTGCATCATCCACCGCTGGTCGTCCATGTACAACTGCGATTGCATCTCCTCTGAAGGAATCAATGCCTGCAACAGGCGAGCGAGCCTAGCTGCACATCTGCCCAAGATCAACGGCGCCCCCTTGAAGCTAAACAACATGGCTGTGAACACCAGGTATCTTCCTGGCTCGATGCTTGGCATTGCCCAATTTCCCAACTCCTTCTTCGCCACCGCCAAGTGGCAGTATGCATCAGCCAAGTCAGCTGACACCAGTTCTATTTCTTCACACTGGTCTGCATAAGGCCACTCCTCTTTTTGTGCCTTCAACATGATGCTGAAGCAATGTTCCCTCAGGTACTTCAGGCTGTCCAGGACGTCTTGGATTCTCGGCAGCACTATCCCTTCCCTGACTTTGCACCAGGAGTTGCCGCCGCTTCTCAAGAGGTCGATAATGACCCGCCTCTTGATGGTCCCGTCCTCCTTCTCCTTCAAATTCAAAGCCCATTTTGAGATAGTGCCTGTAGGGAATTGTTCCTTCGGCTCGTTCTCGTCAAGCTCCATGCAAAACCCTTTCTTCAAGTAGCGCTCCCCTTCTTGTCTTGCATGTTCAGGTTCTTCTCTGAAACTCTTGTAATTGTCAAACCCCAATTGGGCTTCCATGTCCGGCATCCCCTCTGGGTCCGGCAGCTCTTCATCAGTCACTGGGAAGATGCTTGAATACCGAATGTCCTCCGCCATGCCCAGAGGTGCTCCCGCTCTGATCCACTGAACCAGGTCACGTTCTGGATCGCTCGAAAACTTGCGCCAGCCTTCCCAGAGCTTTGCATCCAAGGGCGACGTGAAGCGCCCAGGCTCCTTCAAGACGACGTCGTCAAACTCCTTTGCCTTCCAGAAGCTCTCGATTTCTCGTCTCCATGCCGTCAGAGTTTCTGCATCCAGCTTGCAGTTCTCGCTTCCATAGCTGCTGGCTGCCTCCAACGCTTCGGGATGATCTCTCACAAATCTCATCCACAGTCTTCTGACATCATGTCCGGCTTCGCCCAACTTGTGCAACCTACTCACCGCCTTGGCCGGGTTGCGCATGCCCCCCACGAAGTGCATGTTTTCCCCTTCCTTTCTTTTCCTTTTGGAAGGGCCATCTGATGGGACCACATCCTCGTCGACATTTTCTGCTGTCCATGACCTCTTCGACGATGCCAAGTCGCCCAGTGAAGTTGGCGGCACCTGCTTCTTCATCTTGCTCGCGATCCAGTTCTTTTGGGCTGCAGAGACCTTCTCCTGCTTGACTCTCAGTTGATGTCTCCACCATTCCATCTGCAACGTGGTTTTGAAGGCCTTTGCAACGAGCACCGCGTAGACTTTTGTCAACTTCTCCGGATGCTCGGCTACACGGGCAGTCAACGCTTTTCCAATGAGGGACTGGTGCTTGACCCCGCTTGGACACGTACACTTCCTTGACAACGAAGTCAACTCAGCCAAGCAGCCGGTGATCCTCCCAGGCTTGAACCATCTGTCCTTCTCCTTGTTCTGGTACGCACAAGTGTTGAAGGTCGCCGTCGCCGCTTCGAGCCTCTCCACAAAGTCTTTGAGTTCAGGAAGTTCCCAAGCTGGTCCCTCTTCCCTCGTCTCGGATCCGGATGGATTTTCCAAGGTGCCGACGGTCGGTACGGCTCTCTTGCGTTGTGCCATCACCCCTTCGGCAATGACCAAGCCTGATCTAACCGCCAGCACTGTTCCTTTGTCAGCTTCAGCTTGTTGCCGACGGTTGTTTGTCGACAGCCCATAGATCTCCGAGCCTGACCTGACAGGTCCAGGGCCGTCTCCTTTCGCGTTCAACCTAGCCCTGGAAAAACTGCCACAATGAAAACTTGCATGACTTCCGTCGCACTCCATGTTCTTGGCCTTGTTCAAGATGCCGTCCAATGGCTCTGCTGCACTGAGATCATGTGTTTGGTTCATGAATTTGTCATACGATTCAACTTCCAACAAAATGCCTCCTTTTTCACATTCTGTTCTCAAAGAAGTTGCCAAAACGTCCCGAGGGCCTGCAAACAAATGAACAAACTTGAAACTCCGTGTCCTCTTGTACTGCCCGAAGTCCTTGGATTCCTTCAAGCACCTCGCCACTCGCTCAGGAACCTCAGCTTCGACGCCATGGCCAGCTCCTTCGCTCGCGGCTGCGGTCGAGGTTCCCTCGTTCATCTTAAGCCACACCAGGCTCAAGACAAAGGCTTTGAGCAATGCGCTCAAACTTCAAACTCCGACCCTATTGAAATAACAACGCACAAATCAACCAGTTCAAGAATCAAGTAATCATGTTTCTCCCTTCACCTGTGCCTTGCCTCCCCCAAGAAAACTCACCATGACTCCCTCGATCCATCACCTTTCGGCAACGGCGAAGCCCTGGTTTTCTCGGGCAAAAGTGTCATCACTTTTTGTGGCACTGTTCATTTGTGCGCCCAGGTGAAAAACACAACATGCATTTGTGGGTTCTCTTAACCTTGCTTTTGCACTCACTTCCCGGGCTAAGTCCAGCGCAAGGTCCGCTGTTCTTCGCCCAAGAAAAACAAATCTCATCTCCAGTTTGGTCACGACCGGCTCCTTTGCCTTTTCCTTTGCCACCACTTCCAGAGCCTTTGCTATGAGATGGGTTTGATCTCCACCTGTTGAGCTCTTCTCTATCTGCTTGAAGTCTCTTCCTTTTCGCAATCCTCTTATCCCTGTTTGCTTGCCGTCGACGATCATCCTTGTCGCCTGATCCACCTGTCTCCAACTCATGACCTTCAGCAAGTCCCGGAAAGTGGGCTGAAGCCAATGCCTCAGCTGACGCCATTGGCACCCCTCTTCCACCCGATGCCAACCACGACGTCGCCGGGTGCCTCACCTGCTCACTCCAAAAGGCTTCATCTTGTGCTATGAGTCTAGAGCAGACTGACCAAGGTTTGCTCTCGGTGAAGTCCGAGGGCACGCTCTTGCCCTCCTTCCAGTCGATGACAAGGTTGCGTCTCAATCGTTCCAACCTCTCTGCCCTCGCTTTGTCATCAGCGTGAGCTATCAAGTTCCAGTTCTTCGGCCATTGTACCGTCAACTTTTCGATAACCTTCTCGTAGGTCATGAGTGAAGCTAAAGAACAAATGTCTAAGCTAATTGCCGCCACTCTGAACACCTTCCATGATGCCTGCCACTGCAAGAAGTTCTGGGGACCAGGGAAGTCTCTCGCCACATACGTCCCATCCCCTACGGGGAAGAACGACCGTAGCTTTTGATTCTTCAAAGCTCTTCTTCCAAACGGCAACCAAACTCCCATGTCCACATACGGAGCTTGCCCCATCTGGTTCACCCTTTTGTCCAAGGCAGCCATCTGCGCATCTGTCGGTTCTTCTTCCTCATTGGGGAAATCCCCCATCAGTTGAAGATACCGTTGACTCCAGCTATGCACTGTTTGTACATCAGGTGGCATCAGTTCGGAGTCATCCGTCTGGTCCAGTAAGTTGGACATCTTGAGCACTTTCTCTTTCAAGCCACTGCTCTTGAATCCCTGCGGAGGTACTCCAACTTGTGGTCGATTGGATGTCTCAGGCTCCCACGGGTCCACATCCATAAAGTCATCAACAGATCCTCCCTTCAGGAGGTACAAGTGAAATCTCGAAACTCGCCACATCAACCCCACATGTGCGGCTTCCACTGCTGACAGCCCATGCCCTGCTAATTGAGCCTGACCTATTGCGTGTACTACAACATGAGCAGGGAGCGCCGCTAAAACCCGTAGGTCTTGTCCAGGATTGCCAACTTGTTCAGTGAAAGCATCCCACAATGTAGGGGGTAATCTCAGTAACCGAGCTGCCCCTGCAATGTCTTGTAGAGCACGAACATCCTCCCCCGATGGCAAAATGCTCATGCCGCACGCGAGTCCCAACCATGAAAGAAAACAAAAGTCACATCAGCTAGCCCTTAGTTTTGGGCCAAGCTGCAGTTTTATCTTTCGTATCCCACCCTCCAGCCCTATGCTGAATTCACAACATGTTTGTCACTGCATGCTGCAGTTCTCATTCAAACTTTGAGTTGCCTGTGTTGTCTGATCTGCTTTCGTAGCTGCAGTGTCACAGAATTAGAGACACACGCGCAACACTGGCAAAACATGTCCCCGAGCAGTTTGAGCTGCACTGCCACTTTATTGTTTTGGCAATTTTTGGCAGTTGCCTTAATTTCCAAGTCATTGGACGTCATGCCAACGCGAAAGCGTGACAAACCCATCAACCCGCAACCTGCGTAACCGCAACTAGCTAAGCCCATGGCTGGGATCATTCCTAGATTTCAAGCGTTCAGTTTGCAGTGCTCGGTTTGAGGTATGTGCCAAGAAAACAGCACCGGGTTCCAATCCAAGAGGGATCAAAGAATCTTCCGTGGCTTTAACCGCTGCATCATGAATCTCTGAAATGGAAGTGCAGGAAAGTTGGCCAAGGGCAGCATTCACCGTGTTCTGGTCAGATCTGGGGTTCATTTAGCTGTGTCAAAGCGTGTATTTTATGCTGCTGGGAGCAGCTCTTGTGGCTTTCAGGCAGATCAAAGTACGGAAGCAGTTGATACAGATTTAGCAGACCGCACGGAGGATATCTACCGAGATGCAGCCTGCAAAGGTTCTCAAGTGGTTGTTGGAAACAAACATTAGCTGCCTTTGTAAATTGGTCTCTTTCAACTAAATGTGCTATTCTGTCTCTCACTGTATAACCGGACTGCTGACCTTGCGCGGCTCTTCCAATCCATGTGCAGTGTGCAGTTGCAATTCTATGTGGAGCAGATCTACCCTGTACTGCAAAATGTGCTGGTACTAGAAGGTCCGTAGTTAAGTAGTTGCAAGATCAGTTGCAAGGACAGGAAGGCTTGTTTGCAATTTCTCCAATTTGACTTTAAAAAGTTTTCCATAGTTTTCCTGCTGTCAACAACATAGACATCTATGTTTGGATGCCAGGGAAGCTGATCTCAAGGTCCAGTCAGCGCCCCAGTTTTTTTTTGATCGTCTGAACATGGGGTACCCATGGGTACCCCGGACCTCGCTGAATCCAAAAGATTACATTGGCCATTTTGGGGCATATGACATTTTTAGGGTCCCAAATAGCCCAAATAGACGCATCAATTCAAAAGTGCTTAAGTGACTTAAGTGCTTGATATTTTCCATTCTCCACCACTCTTGGGCATAGCAGGTTTTAGTTGTGGTACTTTGCCCTCGAAGCTGCTCCAATCACTGCTATTGTCTGTTTCAGAATTTAGCGTTGCTGCCTTTCAAACATTGGCTTCTCACCTCTCCCTCTCGTCTGTCTGAGATAATAGGCGACAATCTTTGACAGCGGCATTCGCGGCCGAGGTCTCACTGATTTTCGCATCGCCAATCTTTATCGGTCCAAAGCTGAGAGACAGAGATGGAGGGGTGGCTGAAAAGAGATGGCATCATGGGTGCTATTTTCCGGCAACTGGGTTTGTCTGAACATGGGGTATACATGGGTATACCCCAAGTCCATAGGTTTAGCATCATTTTCCCCTGTTTTGAGTGGCCATTGTGGGGGTATACCGCGACCCTCTTTTCGCAGCTTGGCTCGGTATCTCATGAGGTGGCAGTGTGCAAAACCCACACAATACCTGGAAACATGCTTGATGGTTGAAGTCAGAAGGGGGCGAGAGAATCTGCACGCAGGTGAGTTTTTTCATGGTAAATGTTGCTTACATTGAAACCACAAGCATCAAGCATCCTCCTTTGATTTGAACATACGATAAGCATTGGACCACATGGCATGACGCGTATGCTGTCCATTTGCTCATGACGTCGAACGGTCGTTACTCAGGTGGCTGTCACGCGAACCATTTTCAGTTGCTTTTTGGGTTGGTCTCAACTGAGCCATTGAAAATACATGAAAATACCATTGTTGATAGGCTACTATGGAGGCTTATACCACCTAATTTATTGGTAATTATGACAACCAATATATATAATAATAATGATAATAATGATAATAATGGTAATACTGATAATAATGATAATAATGATAATAATGATAATAATAATAATAGCTTATACCAGTAGTACCGCACAAGGCGGTGGCGGAAGTTTCAAAAATAGGAAACCTATAGGAGAAGTTGGTTGTTGTGAATCAGGGATGGCAGAGCGAAGCCACTGATTGACCGAAAGGTGGTTGGAGTTGTGTTTGCTGGAATGGTTGCAATGGTTGCAGTGGTCA